TGCTGACAGAGGACATGAACAGAACCAGGTCCAGTGTTCAGACTGAGACACCTGGATGGATGTAGAACTGATCTGGTGTCAGGTTCTAGCAGAACCCAGATGTGTTCTTCCTCCTAAATGTAAATAACAGTGTGTGGATGTTCTATGCCGGTACTGACAGGAGAACAGAGTGAGCAGGTTCCAGATGCAGCTCTGACTGCTCCTAAAAGCGGAGCAGAGTTTATTAGTGATGAAGTCAGAATATTTCATCTCTGCTTTGATGTTTCCTCCGTCAGGCTGTGGCTGTTAAAGGGTTCACAGGATGATTTATTTTAGCTCCTTTTAAAAAGCACTCCATGTGAACGCTGCATTCAGACGGAATTATGTGAAAACAACAAACTAATCCTTTAAAAGTCACGAGTCGACACTCAGGAGCTCAACAGCCTGAACATGGTCCGGTGTGTCTAACATCAGGGTTTCTCATGAAGCTTGACATGTTGTGATAATCGGCTCTATGGACACATGTGGTCCCAGTATGGATCTCTGACAGCAGCTGATCAATAGCTGTGATTAGTTTGTACCTTCACGGTGCAGTCGTCGCTCGCTGAGGCCAGCCACTTCCCATCCGGACTGAAGGCCAGACTCCTCACCGCCTCAGTGTGGCCCTGAAACACCAGCACACATTCAGCTGTAAGCCTCGGTTCTCCTGCTGGCAGGACACAGCGACGGCTTGGTTCATGTGATGAGAACCTCTCTACAACCTCGTTAGTTGGACCTTCATCACCATCCATCATGTTTAGAATGACTGGATTTGATTTAAACTACCTAAAATATTCTTGGTGTAAACATTCATCCGGTCCAACAGTCAGTGTTCAGGAGCTGAAGGCAGAACTTTGATGTTCCAGCATCAGTCACATGTAGATGATTACAGCTCCATCCCTCGTGTATCATCGTCATCATGTCATCTTTCTAGGCTATTACCTGTCACTATTACACCTATATTCTATTAGTTCTACTATGTGGAAGCAGAACTTGGACCTTCAGTCCAGTATCCACCACATTCAGCTCAATGTTTACCTAGTTTTCCTTCACTCATACATATTTCCTTAGTTTATCATCATTCTTGTGAATTATTTCAACTTTTCACTATCTTTCATGAGTTCTACAGCACAGAGGCAGAACTGGCCATTTGGACTAAATCTGAACCAGACAGGAACCTGCTGAGCCTCACTGTGTCTTCATGAAAAAGGCTTTACAGAAAACGTCTGTGGTCGGTGCCACCACATATCTGAAGCTAGAATCACAGAGTTCTTACGGAGAAGCTGAACACGTATCCTTTCCTCCGAACGTCCCACAGCTGACAGCAGCAACCGGGTCGCACGAACAGACGGGAAGAAGAAAGAAAGAGTCCATTAATGCAGAATATAACCAGAAACACACACACATGCTGAAGCTCACGGACACACAGCCACCTTGATGTTCATGTCCATGGAGCTGGAGGCGATGTACTCTCCAAACGGGTGGTAGCTCAGACTGGTGATGTTGGCTTTGTGTCCCATCAGAGTCCTTAGAACTGGAAGCAGAAGCAGCAGAGTCTCACTGACGGTGCTGATTTAGCTAAAACCCCTCATCAATAAAAAGACAACAAACCGGCTCTTACTCTTGGCAGCCTCCAGGTCCCAGACTCGGACCGAACCGGACTGAGATCCGGTGACGACCTGCTCGTCTGTCGAGTTGATCTCAACACACTCGACCGGGTTCTTGTGACCCGTCAGACTCTGAGAGGAGACGATTCACAACATAATCTGAGATCAAATGTGCTAATCTGTGCTCATCTGTCCTGCTGGTACTGGTGATGTGCCACCAATCAGATCGACTACAGAGACAGAGGAGGCTGCATCAGAACCAGAACACTGCACTTCATTTATTTAAAGGTGAATCCGCTATTAAAAATACCAATAACTGGAGAGATGCTGACTATGGGCCCAGTATGGGCCTGGCTGATGACCTGTGGACCCATCCTACCATGATGCAGTTGGCCTTGCTGATGCCCCAGATGTTGACGGTGCAGTCTTCTCCTCCGGTGGCCAGCAGGCGGCCAGAGCTTTTCGCCAGAGCCAAGCAGGAAACCATCTTGGAATGAGCCTCGAACTCATCTGTACGGCAACACAGGAGGAACACACTGAGTTAAAGCTGCCAGTCTGATGCAGCTATGAAGCTCTGATCATTCCAGTTGGCTCTGTCCTTTCTCCCTCGATCTGTGTTTTACTAAACAACAGCAGCCTGAGCAGCAGCTACACACTGCTCAGCTCAGGACCGGATCGACAGCCCTGACAGTGTTTTGCTGGATTATCCATTTCAGTGACGGTGCTCGTCTCCCTGTTACAGATGTTCCCCCCAAACTATCCTACAGTCAGAACTCTGAGGGAACTCTGAAGCTCCATCCTTCACTTTGATCTGCACAACATGACTGGTTTAAAGAAATGCAGAATGACAGCGAGGTGCAGCAGAACCTTATGTTCTGCAGAAGGGGATGATGAAGCCAGACGAGACCTGAACTGACCGACTGATGGACTGACAACATGTCTGGCGAGAGGCCAGCAGCAGAACTGGTCACGCTACGGATGTTCATGAGTAATCTGTTCATTGCTGTTAATTCACCAGATTAAAAACATAGTAAAGGACGATAAGACAAAGATCGTGAGGTCAGTAGATGTGCCATAGACCAGCTGCAGTACCTGGTTGTTCCACCAGGTGGAGCCTCTTCCTCTTTAGTCCTGTAGAGACCAGAGGAGGCGTCTACAGACTACAGCTCATGGTGGCAGCAGAGAGCATTGTGGGAGTTTGGCAGCAACGGGACCATGACAGAGACTCTGAGGAGGTTCAGGACCTCCAAGCAGAACTCTGGTTCTTAGATCACGCCAGAGTCTAGAAGGGCTGCGACCCTCATACTGACCGGTTGACAGAAACAGGCCATTTTAGCGGCTAATGCTACATATCAGATGATTAAATACTTTTGTTTTAACTTTAATAATAATACTAACAAGTGATTACTGATTGATAACACTGCCAACTCTCAGCTAAGAGCACGGTTTAAACTTCACTGTCCTCTCTGTGAAACTAGACTGAATCATGTTTGTACTCACGCAGTCGCCATGAGATCTTGGTTGTGCTGGCAGCTGCCATACTGGTCCCACTGGTCGCACTGGTCCCACTGGTGACACTGGCTGCTTTGTTTGAAGAACGGACCCCTGCCGAGGTTAGTTCATGAGGACAGACATCAGCCTCTCATTCACCGTCTGCTCTGAGCTGCTTCCACCTGCACGGACACAGAACCCGACCCCAGAGCAGATCATCCCGTCAGAGCAGATCAGAAACCACTGCAGGACGATCCGTCTCTCACTCATCCAGAGCTCACGCTGCCCTTCACTAAATCTGCTTCAGCTTCTCAAAATTAAAAGCAAAGAGCAGCACCTTGTGCCTGTGAGCCACACCGAGGCTGATGTGTGCTTTAATATGGTGACCATGTCTAGCTCTATGAGAACACTGGATTCTGCAGGTTCAGTGTTTTACAGCTGAGTTCTTGGAAACGTTCCTCAGACTTATCAGACAAAGCTGCAAAATCACCTTCTGCTTCGTCTGTGAAACCACTTTGTAAAGTCTGTTTTAAAGGTTCTACTTACATCAAGCTGGACTAAAGCCGCTGTTGTTCAGCTGTACATTACAGGATACTTCTGAAGCGTCTCAGACTCGTTGTTCATCTTTAGAGGAAACGACGATGGAGCCTGAGCTCAGCTGTTAGATGATCTAATGCAATCGTTTCTAGGTTTTCTTCTCCAAACGTGCAGGTACTTTATCACTCACACTTTGTCCATTTCTCTTTTAGTTCATACCAAACTGTGCAGAACTTTCCTGGAAATATCTGGTCATGCTCAACAGCAGCTGATTTTCAGGAAATTATGAGTTTTCCAAGAAACTATCTAGAAATAGAGAAGCTGTAAAACAAAGTGTGACCAAAGTAGTAAAAATACTCCATGACAAGGAAACGGTGTGTATTCCATGTACATGTTATATACTGTGGGACATTAACTGTTCATGCTTGGACTTCAACAATTAGTCGACTAATCGATTACCTGGTCAATCAATCCAAAACTACTTCAGTATTTTTGTTGTCACTTCATCCACCCTCGTGTTAACAAACTGTCATTGTGAATTAATGTGTTGTGGATTTGTCTGTTTGTTGTTTGGTCTCTAAAATGTCACAAAATGATGAAAAATGTGGATCACAGTTTCCTCACATGTCTGGTTTTGTCCAAAGATCTTCAATTTACAGTCAAAGAGGAAAGAAACCAGAAAACATTCACACTGAAGAAGCTGAAACCACAGAACTTAGACTGTCAGATGTTAATTGTACACACTGGATTGATTTTATTCACTTTACGTACTACCAGGAGAACGGTATCAGACTGGGCCTCTGTAGTAGCAGCTAAAAGTCTGAAATGACTTGGACCAGACTGAAGGCACAAACACTCCACCAGCTGATCTCTGAACACTTTTTCTTCTCATGAAGCTGCTCAGACTTCAGAAAGGCGCTGCTGCAGATCCAACACAGCCACCGTGGAGCAGCTTCTCATCCTGTTTCTATTCAGCTGTCCTTCACTCACAGCGCTTCACTGAGTTCATAAGCTGCTATTTTTCATTGTGCAGCACTTTGGTTCAGCTCTTGTTGTTTTTAAATGTGCGCTATGAATGAATGTGACCTGAGCTGACTTTATAGATGCTAACTGCGGCTAACTGAGAGCTAAGTTCATGTTTACTGATCTCATTAAGAAGATCCATTAAACTAATGATCTGAGCGTCATTCTAAGCAGCAGATTAACTCTCATTCAAACCAAAAGCCTTAAGTAAAACTATTGGTGAACCAGGTCAGCTTACTAAGTTATACTGCCGCCGACTAGTTCACTGGACTTCAAGTAACTAGTCGCAGGTGTTAAGCTAACTACCTAATTTAACTAGCACTAGCTAACGTTAGCTCAGTAGCGCCGTCGGTTAGCAGCTAATGAGCTCCGGTGCTCGTTCCAGTCCGCTCTCAGGCAGCTGCCCGTCGGTTTACCTCGGTGTGGCGGCTGCAGTGGATCATGTGAACCGGAGCACAGGTGACGGTTGAACCGTTAAACCGGTTGACTGGATGATAACGACCTGTTGACGGTCCGCTGCAGCTTAGCAACTGACACACGTCACTGCCGCTGACGTCACACAGGCCGTCTGTTTCTGCTCCAACTTTATTAACAAAAACAAACAAACAAACACAACAGAGGGAAAAATCTGTTGTTTTTTTTTCTTTTACTTTTTAAATAATCATTCTACCTTCTTACACTGTTCGGTTTGTATACACCCAGTTATTAGTTTTATTTTGTATTCTCAAGATTTTATGAATCATCTGTTTTATCTTACTGAAGCCCTTTGTAAATAAGATTTTGGAAAGTTCACAAAAAAGTTGTTGTTGTTGTTCTTCTTCTTCTTGTTATTATTATTATTACTATTATTATTTATTATTATTATGCCAGTTAGACAGACAGCAGTTAAATGTATTTGTGTTCCTGCATATTTACTGTAGATGGAAATAAGACAACTGCAACAACAACAACAACAACAACAACAACAACAACAACAATAAAAAGAGGGGAAAAATAGCTGCAGTGGAAGAAGTACAATTTACATGAATGTATTTATGCAAATGTGTCTTTATATGAACAATAAATAAGTAGAGGGATGTTATTTTTAAAATACATAAATAGCACAAAAGTTGTGTTAATATTTCTATAAATATTTGGAATTTAGCACAAATATTTACAAATAACAAGCTGCACAATATTTGAAAGATGTCTATAAAAATAAATATACAGAACATCAGTAAATATTTATATAACTATTTAGGAATATTTATTAAAATGAACACGAATCGATGAAAAGTCTGTAATAATCTGGACAGATTTCTGAAGCGTTACTGTGCAGTTCTGGTTCCGTCCTGCGGGGGCAGCAGACAGCCCTCCGCCCGTGTGTCTGCTGGAGATCTGTAGGAGAAGAAGAAGAACCAGGAAGTGGTTGTCAACAGTCCGGCTGGCAGCTCCGGGAACCTGCTTCCAGTCACAACACTGGACCGTTTTATTCCGGTTTCTGTGTGAACCGTGAATCACTGTAAACCGGAGTGAAGCCGACGGTCGGTCCAACATGGCGGCGGTGGACGTGGAGGACGAGAGCATCCTTGCGTCCATCTTTAAGGACAGCTTCCCGGACAGCTGGAGGGACAACCCGGACTTCGCGGCCTACCTGTCCGAGCTGAGCTCCTTCGGGGTGGAGAAGCTGAGCCGGGAGCCGGAGCGGCTGGCGGAGGAGCGGGCTCAGATCCTGCAGCAGACCCGGGAGCTGGCCTTCTCCAACTACCAGACCTTCATCCGCACCGCCGACTGCACCGAGCACATCTACCGGGACTTCGGCCGGGTGGAGAGCAGCGTGTCCCGGCTGCTCGACAAGCTGCCCGGCTTCGGAGAGAAGTGCAGGTCGGTGGAGGTACAGGAGTACAGAGTAGTGAGTAAAAGTACTGCGTTACAGGCAGTACTGAGGTACAGGAGTACAGAGTAGTGAGTAAAAGTACTGCGTTACAGGCAGTACTGAGGTACAGGTGCTATTACTACTGTGAAATACTCCAGTACAAGTACTGGTTTAAAGTTATTCCAGTACTAACAGTATTCATGTATTTATATATAAATATTTGGAAATAGCATTTACATGTTTGGAAATATTTACACAACATTCACAAATAATCGACAATATTTGTAAACATTTATATAAATATTTGGCTGCATTTGAAAACATTTACATAAATATTATTATTATGAATGTATTTGACATTAATAAATATTCAGGAGACAAATTTGCATGACTTTTGTAAATATTTACATATTTACCAACAGCTGTAAACATTTACACATAAATATTGAAACTATCTGTAAATGCTTATGTGACTGCATTTGGTTTTAATATTTACGTATAAATAGTAACAAATAATACAAATATTTGTCAGTGTCTGTAAACATTCAGCGACATGTTAAATAATTACAGGATAATATTTGGTCCTATCGGTAATAAATGTCTGGTAGCATTTGTAGGTATTTATTTGGTGAGATTTCTGAGCATCAGTACATAAATATTTGTAAAGAGCAACTAAATCCTGGTTAATTCTCTCCTATACTTTTAAACTCAGTTGTTTTTAGCTCCACATGCGTTTTATCTCTTATGAAGTTTGTAGTTTTATAAAAGCTCCTCTATGGATGAACGCTGCACAGGACAGACGTGTCTCTACCGCAAATAAGCCGCTGAAAAGGTACTTAAAGTTTATAAACTGGGTTTTTTTAGTAGTTTTATAGGGAGACGTGTGTAAACCTGTAACTGACGACCAATCAAAGCACCAAATCTTCACGTCTAAGAAGCTGAGGCACCAAGTATTTACAGTTCTGTCTCGCCAGCATGTCTGTTGTGTGAATACCAGCTGACGGACTGACGGCTGTGTGTTCAGGGGCTTCATGAAGGAGGCCGAGGAGATCGGAGCGAGCCGCCGCATGAACAGTCTCACGCTGAACCGACACACGGAGATCCTGGAGATCCTGGAGATCCCTCAGCTCATGGACACCTGCGTCCGCAACGGCTACTACGAGGAGGCTCTGGAGCTGGCAGCGTACGTCAAGAGGCTGGAGAAGAAGCACTCGGCGCTGCCCGTCATCCAGGTGAGTCCAACAAACAGACACACCTGGGACTTTGGGTTTGGACTGCTTTAGCTTCAGACAGTTTAGAGACTAAACAGTTCAGGATAACTCAGTATCAACCAACTCTGACCAAAGATTCCCCCCAGAACCTCCTCAGAACACCTGGTTCTGTATCTGCAGAACCTTTATCTACTGACCAGAGTTCTACCTTCAGACTGTGAATGTTCCAGAGGTCCAGGTCCTTGAAGTCCACAGAGGAGGGTCCAGATTGATCACTTTAATGGACTTTTTACTTTGATGGACAGCACAGCTGACAGACACATGAAGTTTTCTAAGCTTCAGTCCAACCTGAAGCCTGCTGAGCTCTGACCTTCTGACCTTTCACCCCCTGATCTGTGACCTCTGCTGTCTCCAGGGAATCGTGCGTGAAGTCCGTCAGTCGACTCAGCTGATGCTCAACCAGCTGCTGCAGCAGCTGCGCAGCAACTCCCAGCTTCCTGTCTGCCTGCGCGTGATTGGCTACCTGCGGCGGATGGATGTGTTCACGGAGGCGGAGCTTCGGGTGAAGTTCCTGCAGGCTCGCGGTACCTGGCTGACCTCCATCCTCGCCGCCATCCCCGAGGACGACGCCTACTTCCACATCACCAAAACCATCGAGGCGTGCCGGGTTCACTTGTTTGACATCATCACGCAGTACCGGGCCATCTTCTCCGACGAGGACCCGCTGGTGCCCCCTGCGGGCGGCCAGGTGAACGAGGGCGCCATCTTCCACGGCTGGGTGGTGCAGAAGGTGGCTGAGTTCCTGCAGACGCTGGACCGCGACCTGCAGCGCGGTGTGGGCGGCCGCCTCGACTCGCTGCTGGGTCAGTGCATGTACTTCGGGCTGTCCTTCAGCCGGGTCGGCGCCGACTTCCGCGGGCAGCTGGCGCCGATGTTCCAGCAGGTGGCGGCGGAGACGTTCCGCCGGGCGGTCCAGGAGGCCGTGGACAAGTTCCAGGAGGACATGAACCTGTACACGCTGATCGCGCTGCCCTCGGTTCTGGGCGGAACCATCCCCCCCGTGGCACCGAGCTCCCAGCCCGGCACCCTGCAGCCGCCAATGGCGCTGCTGGACTTCCAGCCGCTCGCCTGCTTCCTCAACAACATCCTGAGCGCCTTCAACGACCTGCGGCTCTGCTGCCCCGTCGGACTGGCCAAGGATGTGTCCGAGTGTCTGGAGGACGCCCTGAAGATGGTGAGCAGCCTCAGTGTTTTGCGACCCGGCGGGTCAGGAACCATGTGCTGAGACGTTGTTGTGTTTTGTCAGGTGACCCGGCAGATCCTGGTGTTCCACCGGGCCGAGGAGTCGGCCTTCAGCAGCAGAGAGAAGGAGCTCTTCGTCCAGTTCTGCTGCTCGTATGCCGAAGACCTGCTGCCGTTCCTGAACCGCTGCCTGCAGGTTCTGTTTCCTCCAGCACAGCTCGCACTCATCCTGGGTGAGGTTCTGCTCCGGTTCTGGCTCTGTTAGTTAGACTAGATGTGATCTAGTGTCTGTTTTCCTCCTTTAGCGTCACATTTAAACTAAAGCCAGTCTCAGAAACTGAACCAACAGAAGCTGGTGTTTTGGACTGAAAGTCATTTTCAGTTGCAGCTTTAACGTCTTCACGACCGACTCTGATCCAAAAGTTTAACTTCTCGCTACAGAAAGCTAATGAGGAAGAATTCAGATAATTGATTTGTTGTTTTTATCAAACGTGTGTTTCACAGAGATAAACCGTGATCAGTGAAAATAAGAATCAGAGACAAGTTCAAGAGAAAACTCAGGACCCTGACATTCATCCTGTGACCCTTCAGGGGTCCCGACCCTCATGTTGGGAACCAGGAACCTTGACTTCCTTTAAACTGCTTTTTCACATCACATCAGTTGTCAGATACAGTTATTGATTCGTTGATCACTGATTGATCATCAGTTCAGACAGAAACAAACACAACAGATTTATCATCAGCCTCCTCTCTCCTGATTGGCTGCTCCTGTCTCTGTCTCTCTGCAGGTGTTCCTGCGACTCACCTGCACAGGTACGGAGGTCTCGGCTGCGTCGACGTCGCCGCCATCCTGGAGCCTCTGGACTTTGTTCTTCCTGAGAAGGAAACTTTAGCGCTGGTGCCGGAGGTCGACGTCGCGGCAGAACTGAGCAGCTTGACGTTTGATACACAAATTGAAGAACCAGAACCGACCCGGTCCGATGCCAGAGACTCTGGAGGCGAAGCGACAGAGCCGAAGGAGGAGATTCAGGACGAAGAGTTTTCTTTGGAGTGAAAGAAGCTTCGTTTGGAACCAGAACATCTGAAGTTAAAACGTTTCTGTAAAGTCTGTGACGGGTTCGTTCAGAACCGCCGTCTCCCGTCTGATCATTTGTGTTAAAGGAGACGAAGCCGGTCATGAATCTGTTAAAGAGAAAACTGTCAGCAGGAGAGACTCAAAGACAGAAAACTGAGGATCAGTTAAATCGCTTCAATAAACATGAAACGTTTCCCAGACAGAAGAAGTTCTGTTGGCATCAGAACCAGAACATCTCTGATCATTGATTAATCTGAATCATTTTAAATAAAAACAGTCTGAACTCTGATTCAGTGTTTTCTTTCCTCCTCTGACAGTAAACTGAAGCTCTCTGGATGAAGCTACAGAGCTAATGCTAAGCTAACTGATTCGTCTGTTTGTAGCTCAGCTGAAGTGTTTCCATGTTGGACAATCAATCATTAAACTGAATGAAGCTGTCAAAGGTAACATTTATTGATTATTAATATAGATCCATTATATTGATGAACGTTTCACAGGTTCAGCACCGATCAGCTCCGATCAGCTCCGATCAGCACCGATCAGCTCCGATCAGCTCCGATCAGCTACGATCAGCTACGATCAGCTCCGATCAGTTCTGATCAGCTCCCGTCTCCAGATCACCCGTCAGTCCAACGCTGAGCTTCAGGTTTCAGCTCGTCTTCATGAAACGACCAGAAACCAGCTGCAGACAAACAAACGGTCAGACTACGGGACCAGAACCTCATCAATCTGCCGTCTGGTGTGAAAGCAGAAAGAAAAGGTGAATTTTATGGATAATATTTCTGGTTTAGCGTAATTTATTAATCCTTCAGTAACAGCGTCCGGTAGCTGCTTGTTGTGTCTCAGACGTCTGAGGGTCCTTGAACGCAGCAGTCGAGCTTCTTGAAGAACAACCGGTGGCGGGTGATGTGGAGGCTGACGGTGTGAAATCTGTGTCTTCACTTCTTCCTGACGAACTTCCTGCGGGCGGCGTTGGGGTTTTCCCGCCGCCTGCCGCCGCCGCTCTGCCCGTCTCTGATGTGCAGGTTGGCGGCTCGGCTGTAGATGTCGTTCTCGCAGAACGGCGACGCTCCGGCCACGTAGTCGGGGTTGAACACGTCGGTCTTCTGCCGAGCCTTCCTGGAGAGCCTCTGCTGGGGGAAGCGCTGGTCCTCCACCAGCTGCGGGTTGTTGGCGTGTTTCCCGCCGTGAGGCAGCGGCAGCGAGTGCTGCAACACAACCGCACGGTTACACAACAGCAGGTTCAACACAACGGGTCAGAATGTGGATCCAAAGCGTTTCTCACCCGCAGGCCTTTGGAGTTCAGGACTTTGGGGTTTCTGGAGAAGTGCATGTGCAGGCTGCCGTCCTCGTTGAGCGTCACCGCCAGCTTCTTCAGGGTTTGGTTCCCACAGTGAGGACAGAAGACTTTGTTCATGTTGCTGGTCGTCCTGGAAACAAAACAGTTTGTTGTTCCGTCAAACACTCGTCAACTCCAACCTGTGAAACCTTCAGGTCGGTGCTGAGCTGCACGCAGCCACATTAACACGGACAGCACCAGAACCAGCACTCTGAGCACAGATGTCCCTAACCCTAACACCCGACAGAGTTTAGTCCGAGTTCAATAAAAACCTGCAGCATCATCATCTGGTTCTAACTGATCCCTGACATGGAGACAGAACCATCAGGTCCAACAGCAGCTCAGACAGAAATCAGAAACAAACTGCTGCTGGACATCTGGACACTGAGCTGGACCGCTCGTCTACATGTCGTGTTTTCATTCTCCTGTATTCTGTGTGACGGACCGTAGAGCCCAGACATCGGCGGTGCCATGAAGCGGTGGCGCTGCGTGTCGTCTGACTCACCTGAAGCAGGCGTGACACCTCAGGATGTAGCTCCTCGCCTGTTTGATCACCATCCCGTTCACCGACAGCACGTGGAGTCCGATCTGGATGAGAACGTTCTGGAAACAGGAGGAGACCGGTCTTCTCATCATCAACAGTCTACTTCACTGATAATCAGCAGCATCATCAATCAATAATCGATTAATCAAAGACACGACATCATTGTGTGTCCTGATGCAGCTGCTGTGGACGCAGTCACATGACCTAAACGCTTCAGCACGTCTATAAACGAGTTCTGGTTGGAGGTCATGAACCTCCTCAGAGTCTCTGTTGCTGCTGAACTCCCACAATGCTCTCTGCTGCCACCACCAGCTGCATGAAGTTGAAGATGAATATATCTGATGCCTGTTATCACATCTGAGGAACTACGAAAGATAAAACCTGAAACGTTCTCTGGTGCTTCTCATCATGTCACTGATCCAGAGACAGTCGATCAGTAATCTGATTACAAACATAGAATAGAATGAAAGCTTTGATAAACCTGCTCAACCAGGTCAGAAATACTAAACATTAAAGTATTCTGTGTTTAGTTCTGTGTTCGTGAGACCTGCAGCTACATGAGGATCAGAGAACGTCACGAGTTCACTTCTGAAGCATCACTGGTTTGTGTTCATGAGCTCAAAGATGGAACTTTTAATTACAGCTTCACTTTTCATCTGCCCCATAATCAGATGATTGATCGACTGTCCAGTGTTATATTATATATTATAATAATGCGTGGCATGATGAGAACAACAGAGAACATTTCAGGTTTCATCTGTAATAGTTCCTCAGATGTTCTCCTTCAAACAGCTGAAAAATTTGTGAGAAAAAACCTGCTGGAGGCGGATTTTTAATGGAGTTCATCTACAGAAGTGTTTTTATATGGAGCTGAAGTTTCACAAGTACAGTCGTGACTCCATGACACTAAACATAAAACCTTCTTCTATGTGGGATATCAAGGCTGTGGGATTGTCCAGACGGAGGTCCAGATACGAGGAGGGCTTGATGCTGGAAGGATCATTAGTTGTTCATTATTGTTCATAGTTGTTATAAGAACTAGTAGTTCTGGTCCCAACAGAACGTTCTGCTCTCTGGATGTTCAATTAATGACGATTATCGGGTCATGACTGTACGTCCATCAACAGTAAACGTGAACAGTTCATGCTGCTGAACCAGAACTCTGTCGCGGCCGTCCGGTACCTGCATGGCGAAGTCGGTGGTCAGACACCCGACTGTGACATCAGCCGGAGCCGTCCAATCAGCAGAGTCCATCTTCAGCTGCCGGATGTTGCTGGGCGTGATCCAGCCTCCTCCATCGTCTTCATCCTCCTCCTCCTCGGGCTCGTTCTCTTTGTCCTCGTCGTCTGATTGGTCGTCTGGTTGCTGCGCCCCCTGCTCTGCCCGTGAGGAGTCCGACAGCGAGGCTCCGCCTTCATCCTGCAGACACCATCATCATCATCATCATCATCATCATCATCATCATCCTCACCACCATCATCATCATCATCATCATCATCATCATCATCACCTTCATCATCATCATCATCATCACAGGCTGCCTGTTGGCGCTGACTTTGTGTTTTTCTACTGAACTGATGAGAACAAACGGAGTCGCTGCTCATTTATGAACCTGCTCCAGTCTCACCTCCAGGTTGGACTCGCTGGATTCTGTCTCTGTTATAATACTTTTATTCCCACATAAAACCAGAGAACTGAATGGACCCGTTTCCGTCTAAATGCAGATGTTAGGAAAGGAAACGAGGAAACGAGGAGACATGACAGGTAAAGATGAGAGCCGTCTGAATCAGGACAAAGATCGGACCTGAACCTGATGATCAGACTGATCAATAATGGATCTATGATGAAGCTATGACACCCCTGAGCAGAACCGGATCGATCAAACAGGACCGACTGGGCGGCTGCCAGACTCACCAGTAAACCCAGCAGGTCGTCGTCGATGGTCGGCACCGGTTCTCTCCAGAACTGGAAGCTGTTGAACTCTTCAGCAGCCGTCCGAGTGTTGTTCTGTTTCTGTTGGTTGGTGGGTTTTAAAACGTCCACTGGACCCTGAAGGCAGCAGAAGAAGCTGTCAGACGACAAACGGGCCTGAAGGGACAAACACAGCCCGCAAACACCCCAGGGCGGAACAAAGTCCAAAATCGGCTGGTTCCAGTTTGTTGCTGAACTCACCAGTAAACCCAGCAGGTCGTCGTCGAGGCTCGGCACCGGTTCTCTCCAGAACTGGAAGCTGTTGAACTGTTCTCGGTCGGGCGTCTCCGTCGGCCGGATGTTTGGACTCTCAGCCGGTTTCTGAAGACACAAAAACAAACTGAAGATTCAGGTTCTGTCCAGGAACACCTGGCAGGTAAACAAGTAAACATGTAAACAGGTAAACAGGTGACGAGTTAAACAGGTGAACAGGTCCAGGTTCTCACCTTGGAGGGCAAGTGGAACCCTGCGACGTTGACGGGCGTCTCCGGGTGGCGCTGAGTGCTCTGGATGTTCACCTGGAACACAGAACAGCACCTGAGCCAGCTGCTCTCACACAGGTAACAGGATCACTAGAGTCTGATTATCAGGTTCTGCAGGTACCTTCACCTCCGGCTCCGTCTTCAGGTTCTGCGAGCCGACGTGTTCTAGGTGCAGCTGGTAGGTCAGAGCCAGAACCTTGATGTCCGTCGCTGACAGACTCGGATAATCTCCGGTCTTCTTCGAGAACTCTGTGACTGAGAACCGGCGAGAACGTCAGAGATGAACATGAATGGGTTTGGTTGTGTCGAAACACATCTTAGTGACAGGTTCTGGTTCTGTTCAGGTTAGTTACCATGTCTGATGTGTTCTGGACTGGGCTCCTTGAAGGTCAGCTGGTACGGCAGGAACGCGAGGCTCCTTCTGGTCGGTCTGTCTCTGATCTCGTCCACCACGTCTTTGAGGGTGTAGATGTTCCTGCCGATGTCCTGCAGAGCAAAGAACCAGGTGGTTAGTCTGGACCTGGTTCTAACANTTCCTTCTGGGTGAATAAAGTTTATCACAGTAATGAAGCCTGATGAAGTCCGTCTGACCCGTATTGACCCGTTGTGTTGCTGTTCAGGCTCCAAGGACTTCCAGCTGGTGACGTGGTCCAGAGACCAGACTCTGAGGATCTGGAGAGTCGACCCTCAGCTGCAGAAGGTCAGCAGGAAGCTCGCTGTGACATCACGCCCACCGGCCTCTCTGATTGGCTCACACTGTTGTTGTTGTCGTTGTTGTGTAGCTGTGTGTCAGCGACATGGTGGAGGAGCTGATGGAGGGGATGTCACTCACCGTGGAGACGGAAAAATCTCTGACCAATCAGGAGCCTGAAGGCCAACATGGTGGAGGGACGGCCGCAGAGATCCTGCAGGGTGAGACAGAACCACTAGAACCGCAACAGAACCACTACAGAACCACTAAAGGACCACTACAGAACCGCAACAGAACCACTAAAGAACCACTAAAGAACCACTATAGAACCACTACAGAACCACTACAGAGCAACAGAACCACTATAGAACCACTACAGAACCGCAACAGAACCACTATAGAACCACTACAGAACAACAGAACCAGTACAGAACCTTCAGAGCCTCTTCAGGGAGCAGACGTAGTCGTAGAGCTGCTTCTTTGTTCACTTTAAGCTGCAAATGCATCGTGTGGCTGAAGGATGAAACCAACCAGCAGAGACGATGTTTTCTGTTGTTTCATCACGTCTTCAGCTGATTGTCTCGTTAATTCCTCCAGATTTAATCCATTCAACAAAATCAGCCACAAACCTGCTGGAAAAAGGATGAATGACTGTAAAACATTTAACTCTGTTTCGACTTGATTCATCTTCAGTAAAAGGAAAATCAGACTTTAATAATAATCTAATCCTGGTTTAACTCTGGTCTCCTGGATCGAACACTTTGGTCTCATGTGTCTGAGTTCTGATGAAGAGAGAAAAGAGAACCAGCAGCTCAGAGACACAGTTTGTGTTTATTATGTTGAACAAAACTGAATCTTTTGTGTTTTAAATAATAAACTGTTGACATCAGTTTGACTTGCGCTCAAAATAACGGAAACTTTGTACATTTATAATAATGATAAAACTTTGGACTCTTTCTCGGTTTATTTGGACCTTTTAAGAGCCGATAGAACCTTAAAAAGGCCTCAAAGGTGTTCTGTTCAGTCTGTCACCTGTTCGGGTCGTTGCCTTGACGACAGTGGTCCATGTTCAGTAAACCGGTCCCACGCAGCAGCACCTCTTCATCACGGTGAGAGTTTGTAAAACATGGGTCCAGTCTGACGCTGGTTCTGGTTCCCTCAGATCACGACGGGTCTCTGAGCTCGGCAGGACGCCACGACTCGGCGGCAGGTTCTGGACTCGCTCAGACGCTGCAGCAGGAGTTCTCGTTGGTCAACCTGCAGATCAGAAACGTCAACGTGGAGGTGAGTCTTCAGCAGAAGATCAGGACCCGTAATCACACCCTGGTTAGAGGAGTTACAAGATTCAGGTCCTGGAGGGAAGTAAACGTCCTTCATTATGAAATAAAGTTGAGCAGCAGCACGTCAGTGGATTCACAGCATCAGACATCAAAGATCTGAGAACGGAGTCTGTGCAGCTGCATCTGTGAAACAGTGAGATGATCTGATAAAGACAGACTCTCTGCTCCGTCAGTAGTTATAAAAACAGGAAGTGATGTTGCACACGGCTGAGTGTACGTGACCAGAACAGACCAACCAGCTGGATGTAGATAGATACGGTGTCGCCGTGTCCAGGGTGAGTAGATGACACTAGATGAAGCTGCTGGCTGACTCTCAGACAAAAAGCATCAAATCCTCCGTAAACTCACTTCGGGTGACTTTCTTTGTGTTAATCTGGTTTTTCTGAACCTTCTAAGAAGCTACAGAAGTTCAGGAATCAGCACCAGTCCCTGTGATCACGACTCCTACATTTATAAAGACGTTCCTTGATGCCGGCTGGACTCTGAAACCCTCCTGATCTGGTTTGTTTCCTGCAGATGGACGCCATGAACCGGAGCTGTGTGGTCTCGGCCCACTTCGGCAGCCATCAGGTTCACCTGGTCGTCAAGTTTCCGGCTCAGTATCCCAACAACGCCGCGCCCAGCTTCCAGTTCGTCTCCCCGACAACCATCCCCTCCGCCATGAAGACCAAGATCCAGAAGGTACCTGAACGCACCGCGACACACTGAATGCGAGCAGCGCCGGTGCACAGGGACAGGAAGTGATGGTTCTGACCATTAGCTCAGTGTGTGTGTTGTGCAGCCCAGTGGACCGGCAGCTGTACCGTCCAGTCTGACTTCCTGAGGGTGGAGCTTTACTCTGTAACGGACTCTCTGTGTTCAGATCCTCAGAGATACGTCTCTCCAGAAGGTGAAGAGGAACCAGAACTGTTTGGAGCCTTGTGTCCGACAGCTGGTGTCCTGTCTGGAGTCCGATATGGTGAGAAACCCAGAACCAGAACCAGAGCCTGGTCAGTCTGTAGTGAACCTAACTGATATTTAACTTCACTTCTTCTCGTCACACTGTGATGACCGTCTCTGCTGTAGCGCCTCCTTCTGAACAAACCTGACGGTGCAGCTCTGTGACTGTAATGAACACTGCAGCCTGCGGGAGGCGCTAACACACAGTTCTGTCTCTCAGACGCAGGAGGACAGTCCGGCCTCCGGGCCCTTCGTCCTGTCCAACCCCGTCACGCCGGCGCTGCAGGCGTTTCCTCGGGTCACCAACACCTACGGGTCCTACCAGGTAACCAGCTGTGACGTCTGACAGGCAGACTTCTGAACGACAAGCTGGAAACAAACGTCCTCCTGCTGTCTTTGTCTTCAGGACGCCAACATCCCGTTCCCTCGTACGTCCGGCGCTCGTTTCTGTGGCACCGGCTGCCTGGTTTACTTCACCCGACCAATCACGATGCACCGCTCGGTCCCGCCCACAGAGCCCACACCCAGGTAAGAACACACCTAGAGATCTAGAGCAACAGGTCCTCCAGGTGAGGGCTGATCAGAATGTAGCCTCCATCAGGGTCAGAGCCGCTCTGCTCCCAGAGCTCCTGCAGCACTTTGACCCTCAAGTCCTGATCTGGAACCACGTCGGCTCCACCTGGGACCAACCTGCTGGACCGAGTCCAGACAGATCCAACTCTGTGCTGGCAGTCTGACCCTGGGAAACAAACTCATGGTAACAACCGTGTGAATGTTCAAGAAAACAGATCATCCACAAAAGAAAAACAACTGACGCAAAGTTGATGATGACGACTCAAAATGTGTCTAAAATGACTTGAAACCGTCCAAAATGACTCAACGATGTCCACTCTGACTCGAGACTTGTCCCAATATNGACCTGGTTCTAACACCAGACAGGTTCTAACATCGGGAACCTTCCTGCTGAGCAGCACTTGGTTCCGTCGGGCTGATTCGGGTTTTGATGTGTTCACTGTCCTCGGTTCCGGTTTTAACACTTTCACTAATCAGAGAGTAAATTAAAAAGGCTGATGACGTCACTGTTTGGGTCTCCATCCAGAGACGCGTTTCCGGTTCGACCTAAAAACAGCCGCTGTACGTCTGGACACACCTGGACTGGTTCACCTGTAGGACCGGAACTCGTCTAAAGGTTCGGGTTGGTTTGATCTGGAGGTAACAACTGAAGCAGGAGTGATTCGGCCGTTGACCGTCTGACGCTCCACCTGCGGCGGAACCTCCGTCAGCGGCCGCTCACCTGTCGGACCTGTGACCGCCGCTCACCTGTCGGACCTGTGACCGCCGCTCACCTGTCGGACCTGTGACCGCCGCCCACCTGCTCGGCCGGCGGCCGGACGGAGACTCACCTGGAGAGGAGCTTTCTTTAAAAACGCTCCTGCGTCCGCGACAACATGCTCCACCAGGGCGGGCGCCATCTTGGGTTATTGACCAACTCCTGCAGCGGCCAATCAAAAGACAGGAAATGGTCCCGTGACACGTGGAGCTCTTGAACGCATCATTCTGTCGGAAATTTGACAACTCGGTTAACTCCGGGCTTTAACAGCTGATTTATGTCGAACTTGTACTGAAGCTGAACGTCTGAAACGTTCACTGTGTTTAATCTGACAACGGGCTGCTTTAAACATGTAGGTATATATATTTAACTCTTATTATAATTATTAGTTTATAAATTAAAGATAAAATCTAGAAATTACGAGTTGAACTGAAATGAAACAAAAAGCTCTGTTATTTTAAAAAGCTAATTATGGAATAAACAGAATATTAAATGTTTTCAACATACAATCTGTTGAAATTAAAATTCTGTTACAGGAATTAAAAACAACAACTCGATGATGAGGTCTGTTTGATTTAAAAAATCTACATTTGAATTAAACATATGATCAGAGTTAGAAGTTATGAGATGAAATCAAGCACAAAAATGAAAACTTATCAGCTTTTAGAGTCCATGAATCTAAAAGATGAAACAAAAAAACGATCTAACTGAATGATAAAATGAATATTAAACATAAAATATCAAAGTTAATTCATGTAAATATCTCAAATAAAAGTCATGTTTGTTCTGTCTGAGTGTTTCAGGACTTCAGGCTCCAGTTTTCAGTGTTTATTTGAGAATCTCTCGTTTCTCGGTTTTCCCGCCGCCCCTGAACGCAGCCTGACGTCACTCTGGGTCACGTGGTGTTTGTTGACGGTAGAGGGAAGATGGCGGCCCGGTGGAGCAGCGAGAATGTGGTGGTGGAGTTTCGGGACGCTCAGGTAAAGCGCAGCGTTCAGGCGGAACCGAGACCCGAAAAGTCCCGGAAAAGTCCGAACTGCAGCTCAGACCGAGTTCGGACCGGAAGTCCCAGTTCGACCGACGTCTGTCGCGATTAACCGACTAACGTTGATCACAGGATCATCGGCTCAGCTGGTTCTGCTGCTTTGGAGGGTTTAGTTCTGATCCATTAGTGGAAAACAACAAACAAACAAATAAACAATGACGTCAGAGCTGCTTCAGAGGAAAACTGATAAAGTGCAGCTGCCGTTTGATCAATCGATCAGTGGATCAATAGATGATCAATCAGCAGCAGCTGACTTTCACATGATTGTTTAATTCGCTTCTTGCTTCCACGTGACAGTGAACGCAACACAAAACAAGACATTTAGATGAACAATAAATCCTCACAGCAGAACCTGAACGCATCACGATGCGATCGATTATTGATCTACCTTCAAAAGTCACCCTGAGCACCGACTGATCAATTTTCTGGTAACTTCATGAGACTCATGTGATTTATCAGGATTTTAAATCATCTTAAATCACGTTGGATTAAAACTTATTCACAACCACTGAGCTGCTGCAGCAACAGCTGATCAATAAGACATCCGATCAGCTGATCAGTGATCAATCAGCTGATCAGTGAACAGTCAGCTGTTCAGTGATCAATCGGCTGTTCAGTGATCAATCAGCTGTTCAGTGATCAATCAGCTGATCAGTGATCAATCAGCTGATCAGTGATCGATCAGCTGGGATGAAGGTTAAACACACGTGTGGGGAGAAAATGTTAAACACAAACCGTTTGTGTTTCAGGCCACGGCCATGTCTGTGGACTGTCTGGGCTCCAACGCTGTGCTGTCCGGGTAAGTTCAGGGCACCTGAACGCACCACAGGTTCAGGTTCTGTTACCTGAGTGAGAACCGTGAGAAGGAAAGTCCGGTTCTGGTCTCATGTGAAAGATAAAAGTCAAAGTCATGAGAAAGAGATCAAACGTATAATTAAAAAGTTAAATGACGAGATTAAAAGTCCAGGTTTTGATTCGTTTGGTTAAATTCTGACATGAGTCCAGATGAGCAGCTCGCTGTGAGAAAAGAAGTCCAGGTTTTGGTTCCTCTGACCTTCCTCCGGTCCTCTGCAGGCGGCGGTTCCTCTACATGGTGAACCTCGAGGCTCCTTCAGAACCGCCCAAAAAAATCGGCCGTCACAGCAAATGGGACGTAGGGACGGTCCAGTGGAACCCGCACAGAACCGAGGCCCACGTGTTCGCCGCCTCGGTGAGAAATGCGACCAACCAGGAACCCGAGGAGCTAAACCAGACATGTTTAAACCAGACTGTGGAGTTTATGACCCGTTTATCATCAAGTTAACAGTCAGACGGGAACAACTGGACCCGCTGACAGAGTTTCTGTTCGTGTTTGTGTTCGTCAGAGCAACCAGCGGGTCGACCTGTACTCGTGGAGGGACGGTTGTGGAGAAGCTCACACCTCGCTGCAGGGTCACACCCGGGTCATCAGGTAACACCGGACAGAAAACAAACGCCCCCAAACACAGAGCAGACTCACTGTGATGCGTTCAGGGACTGATGCTGAAAAAACAGGCAGAAAAGTTAAAAAATTTGATCCACCGGGTTCAAGCTGTGACGGAGAGACAGGAGAGCTGAAACGATGCCAGAAAGTCTCAACGTTTGATTTAAAAAAAGCCAAATATTTGTGTTTAATTTATGTGAAGTTTTATAAGAACTGAGGTCCAGCAGATTACTGACGTCAGAGCTACGACACAAAGGCTTCGTTATGAGATGAAGGAATGCAGGAATTAATTTATATTTATTGTGTCGATATGACCATGAAAGTGTTACGAGAAAAAAACCCATTTAGGTTTATTGTGCCACAATAGTTGAGATTAAAAGTGTAAATTATAACAAAGTGATTATAACACGGAGGTGAAAGTGTTCGAGTGTGATTTAGGGTCTGAAAACTGATGAAACAATTATTAGAAATAAAAGAATATGACATCATGTACAAGTTCAGGGACAGACTGCGACGCGTTCAGGGACCGTCTGTGATGCGTTCAGGGACTGACTGCTGTGTGTTGTGTCCTCAGTGATCTGGACTGGTCCTGGTTCGAACCGGAGCTTCTGGTCACCAGCTCGGTGGACACCTACATCTACATCTGGGACACGAGGTGAGAATAAACGGACGAACATGAATAAATGATGCTGCAGGAGACGATGTGTTTAAAGAAAACTAATCACCGTCACGCCACAGAGTCCTGCAGACGTTATGAACATGTAGATCAAATGTGCAACACAACAAAACCAAGAAGAGCGCTGATTAAAACGATGTCTTCTGACTCCACAGAGACACTCGGAAGCCGACGGTGGCTCTGTCGGCTGTCGGTGAGTCCTGAAGGAACAAACACAGATTTACTCCTGAAATCATCAGTTTTCAGATTGAATACTCGTCCTGATACGTTCGCTTTGACGGATCTGAACCTGAGATCATCAAAACATTCTGACTGCAGCTGTGAGCGATGCATTCAGGGAAACTCAGACATCGCAGAGCTTCAGTTGAGGAGGTTCAAATACACACTGAGGTTTGGACTCACTCATACAGACATGTTTGTCTTCTGGACGACGCCTCCTCAGCGCTTCTCTGCAGAAAACCACAAATGTCAGATGTCCGAGTGTCCCTGAATGCACCGCTCCTGTTTTTAAGTGTAACTCTGACTGATGACTCGTCAAAGCGGCGCTGCAGCGACGGACCTTCACGTCCAGAAGCTGTCGGCGGTTTGTTGGTTGTCAGAGACGTGGAGATGGTCTGGAGGTAACTTCTGTCTCCGTCCTCCTCCAGCCGGAGCGTCTCAGGTCAAGTGGAACCGCAAGAACCAGAACCTGCTGGCGTCCAGCCACGACGGAGACGTCCGGATCTGGGACAGAAGAGTGAGAACCTCCTGAAAGCTGCTCGGTGCAGGACCCAGGTGTGTCTGTTGTGTTGCCGTGCTGATCAGTGTGTCTGTTGTGTGTCTGTTGTGTGTCTGTTGTGTGTCTGTGAGCAGAAGCCGAACACAGCAGCTGAATACGTCGCTGCTCATCTGTCCAAGATCCACGGCCTGGACTGGCATCCGGACAACGAGTTCATCCTGGCAACGTCCAGCCAGGACAACTCAGTGAGGGTGAGACACACGCACAACGCTACACAACATAACACAACGCTACACATCGCTACACAACATAACACAACGCTACACAACACAACGCTACACATCACAACACATCGCTACACATCATAACACAATGCTACACAACGCTACACAACTTAACACAACGCTACACAAC